AGATGAGGTGTTGGTAGTTGCAGATGATGTTGTGGTAGTTGAAGATGTAATTGTATCACTTGTCGTTTCTGTAGTTGTTGCATTTGTGATATTTGTGGGTGTAGTGGTAGTAGTCGTAGTTGTAATTGTATCACTTGCCGTTTCTGTAGTTGTGGTAGTCGTAGATGTAATTGTATCACTTGCCGTTTCTGTAGTTGTAGTTGTCGTTGTAGTTGAAGAATCTATTATTCCTGATGTCGTTTCAATAGTTGTAGATTCTAATGTATCAGTTGCTGTTGTTGTAGTTGGAGATTCCATTGTTGCTGATGCCGCAGCTAGAGTTATTGTCGTAGTTGTAGATTCAGTTATATATATTGCCGTTGATATAGCTTCAGATGTTGTTGTATGTGCAGGTTCAATTGTTTCTGTTGCCATAAGTTCAGTTAGAGATGTTGTCTCTTCTGAAGATTCAGTTGTACCTATCGTCGTAGGCACAGATAGACATATGGTTGTAGCTGAAGTCGCAATTGTATCTGCTATCGTAGCTATAGGTAGACATATTGTCGTAGCTGAAGATGCAATTGTATCTATCATTGTAGCGACAGTCATAGGGGTTGCCGTAAATGAAGATGTAGTTTCATATGTCATTGCAGCTATAGTTATACTTGGTCCCGTATCTAGAGATGTAGTTTCATGTATTATATCAGCAATAGTTAGAGATGTTATCGTAACTGTAAATATAGCATCTACCGTATTGTTATGGAAAGTAGGCAATATTATTATTTAGCTTATTTTCATGGAAAAATCGGAATTCAGATTTTTAAGTTTTATAATTTTGTTTAGATCTGAATCTTAGCTTTTTGTCACTCTATACTTTATAATAAAAACATATTTAATCTACACATTTCATCATTTCACTGCAAACTGAAGTTAATCATGATTTAAGTAATAAATATTTAAAGCAACTGTATGATCATTAGAATATTTCATTGTAAAAATACTATCAGTATCTTCAGTGGCTGTATATGGAAGAGTCATACATATATATTTTTTTCTTTAAAAGACAATATATCTTTTTCAATCATACCTGTTTCTATTGATGATAGTGTCACAGATATTGTACTATCAAGTGATGATGAACCTAAAATAAACATTAAAAACTCTCAATAAAATCTCGTGTAATCTTACTTTCTGTGATTCCACTAGCATCTATGGTAATATCTTGTGTATCCTGTTTTAATATGAATTCATCTTTTAAATTGTATAATATATTTGTATAATTTTCATTCATAATTTCTACATATTCATATGAATGTATAATGATTGTATCATATGTAAGAATAATTAAATGTAGAATAAGAAATTTTAATGATGAAGACTTCATCATTTTTTCAGAATATATCGTTTGACGACTGAAGCAAAATAACTTCTACAACCGCAAAATATATATATCACTCTACAGTGTCAATTTAAATATGATATATAAAATGCTTTAATCCGTAATCAACGAAAAACAAAAATTATGATGTAAATATATGTTATGCAAATGTTTTTAAACCTTTCTTGATGATTCTCAGTCATATATATATAAATGTCTTTGTTTTAGGCTGAGAAATAAAATCTTTTTATCAATGTTGAATTTATGATAAATCTTATCGAGCCTGATATGATGCATGATCTTTTTTTTCTACAGAAAAAAATATTTATTGAATGGATCAAATTTAATTCTTAAAAACATGCTGATATAAAATCATGAAAGATGTATAGAATGCTTTCATTACAGACAATAATTAGGTTCTTATATATATTTATTTGTTAACTGTGTATTTATAGACGATAACATCAATATTGAATATTCTTGTATTTTTCTACTAAAATCATGCAAATATCTTATTTTAAAAACAGATATCGAATTAAACAGTCTATCAACGCTTTGTAATGAAGAAAAGGATGCAAACAATCATTACTACACAGTATATAATACAACTAAATGTAGTAAAATCTCTGAATCATAAATATGAATGAAACGTACGAAAAAGATCTACTTTAAAACGACTAAGATTTTTGAAAGAGATCAAATAGAATTTGTAAATATTAGAAGAGTATTAATGATCAAATAATAAAAAAGTGATTCTTTTTATCTTATATATATTTATTATTGAAGTATGATAAAATTCGTGACACAACATTCACACGCACGAGGCCTGTGCATAAGATAAAAATTTTTTCGTTCTGTTCTCATGTGATTGAATTACTCATATGTATTAACAGAAATAAAAAGTTCTATTAGTGAGATTGGATTATTAAAAAAATACATAGAAGACGCTAATGAGAATCAAAAGATTGTTTAATCTTAACATCAAACTTGCATTTTGCATCAAAATCAGATTAAAACTAGACAGAATAAATCACATAAAAGTATAAATAGAAAGTATATATATTGACTACTCCGAGCGTAACACGATAACATTTTGTCTACAGTTTTAATAACTTTTCTCACGAACTAGGTTGTGTAGAAAACTCATGATTTTGGTGAAAAATGTGCCTCTGTCATCCGCATAATCTATGAAAATATCGCCTCATCTGAACGAGTCGTCTGAAAATTATAGTAAAAATATACGACGAAACGCAATGATGAACAAGAGAGAAAAATTTGAGACTAATATGGTTGTTCTTTTTTTTTCTACGAATGTGTACTACATTAAAACAAACGTTCCATAGACGGTTAGGAATTGATAGTTTGAGGTGCTTAACGGGTAAAAAAAATTCTGATCAGGTTTTTTATTTTGAAGAGTGATCAGTTTTATTGGCATAACGCGATGACGATGACTTTTGCGATAGACTTGTTTCTATGCTGCATTCTGTCTTATGCATACGTCTATAAAAACAAGGTATTATTTTAATTTTCAGGATTGAACTATGCACATGTTAGATGCTATGTTTATTTATCCTTCTAATACAAAAAAAATTGTTGAAATAAATAAACTAATTTGACTAATATGTGTAGTAATGATTGTATAAGGTAGAGAAAATTCAAAATTTTAGTAAACATTTTTTCTCAATAACTTTGTATATGATTAGATAGAACTAATAAAACTGTCAGAGAAAAGGCACTATAAAACATTTTCATTCTTTTATATCCATCAAAAAACTCAATATACTATGTTCTTTTTCTTAGTAAAATCATTCGGTTTAGATGATCTCAGTATGTTGAGTTTTTTTAATGTATATAAAACAATGAATATTTTATTTTTAAATACATTTTCTTAGACATGTTGAGGGTGTAGGTAAGTGTGGCCCTTGTTCGACCTCGATACCCATACCCATAGAGCTCCACTCACCTACATACACATCCCAAATATGACTATTCCTGAAAGAAAGTAAGATGGGTACTTATAATGTTACTTAATTTTTATCACAGATAAAAGAATAAATTCTTTTCGTTTTGAATACTTTCCATGAAAACTAATTAATAATGTTCTTAAAATGAACATCATTACTCGAGTATTAGTTCTCTAATTTGAATGTATGAGAGTCATTCAATTAAAATTATTTCTTTTACATATTTTCAAACTATCGAATAAATACAGAAATAGAAGAGAATGATAATTTGCGAAAAATTCTATTACCTTCGTAGTTTACGAGAACAAGCGTAGTAAAAATCATATTTATGTTTTTCCATATACAACTAATATTGATGTAATACGGATGTCCATCGTGGCTGGAAATCAGACGTTACCGCAATGATATGAACAATGTAGTCTATAAAACTTCCTTTTATATTGGTTGAACGCTACAATACGTATACAAATGTGCTGAGAGAAGGAGACTCTTTTGAATCGGAAACATCCATACTGTTTGAGATAAAAATAAAAAGTAAGTTTTCCGAAAATTCAACCGCTGCCGCGCCGCTGCATCAACGTCTCTGTGACGTATGGATTACCATATAAATATTTTCTGAAATCTAAACATCTCCATATATCATATGTCATTTCTCAGCTGAATGATAAAAGAAAAGCGGTGAATTTTTTAATTTGCGAATCAAGTACAGGATTCATGTCAAAATCATACTAATGAAATACTAGGAAGTTTCGTATTTGACAGCTTCTAATTAGAAGTTAACTCTTCATATAAATACACTATTCTTCGGCGGATGTAATAAGAAGAATCCAAGTCGAAATATTCATATAATTAAATAATAGAAATTTGGGACAATATTTAGAAAAAATCGAATTTTTTATATTATTGTTGCTGCGACTACATTTGGTCGTATGCTAATTCTTTTCATTATTGATGTTCGAACTGGATCAGTAAATTTAAATAAAGCAATCATAAAAAATACTGTTGATATTTCAATAAATGTCACAGCAATGCGAAAATGATATTTTGGTGGTGAGGTAAAAATCCCATAAACACGAATATTGTATAAGACACACTAAATATTAAGAAAATTGATATTCATTCCTCTAACATATCGAATTAATTTCAAATAAATAAATACAATACCATTTATTGGTATTATATATATATATATATACGAAATGGATTATAAACTAATAAGAGAGAAATACGAAGTGGCAGTTGATATATCTGATCATCAGCAGAATATTTGATGGCATTAGTAGCTATTTGTGGACATGCAAATATAAAAGCAGCTATCCATGTTAAAATAATGAGAAGATATTGAAATTTTTCGGATTGCCAGAATACGCTATTTGGATAAATAATTGTTATATAACTATGAATCGCTTGTAAGAAATAAGAATAAATCAATGCAAAACAAGTAACATAACACATATAACCTCGAAAATTACAAAATAAATCTTGATAATAAATTTGTTGAAGATCATTATAAAGTGTAAAAAATGAAACCCAGAATAAAAGAAGTGTAAATATAAAACCAGCAAAACATGAATTAGTAACAAGTATCATAAGAATAGTATGACATGTTTTATCGGTTAAAACAATACATAAAAATAATATTGACATTAAAATGGCTAAAATAATACATATAAGTGCTAGAATATCGACAAGAATAAACCATAATTTGTTAATTATGATTGAAGTATTAGAATCTTTTAATAAAGAAACATAGAAAGTTGTTGTGTTCATCGTTGAAATGATGAAAAAGAAAGAAAAAAAATATAATGGAGAATTATCAATGTGAAAGATTTTTTTTTAAATTAACAACTATTTTAGTTTGAATACTACGCATAATGAAAAACAGACTTTTGTCGTTGCTGAATAATACAAATCTAATATTATCTCCAAGTGGAAAATTTTGTTTTTGTATATTTATAGAAGATTACATATTATTAAAAAAAAGAATAGTGATTATATTTTAAAAAGATAGTGTAGCCAAATCTTGTCAACGAAAATTTCAAGTTTACATAGTAGTATATCATTTTAAATAACAAGCAAAATAATGTATTATGGGAAATTCGTAGTTGACTGTCCGGCCATCGCTATTTACTAATTTGAGACATTCCAATTGATTAGGATTAGATAATTATAGACTCATTATCTTCTCTCATATTTTCCTTCCATAGATGTATCTATAAGATCATAGTTCACCGTAGTATAATAGAAATTCATAAGTAAAATACATTTTGATTGATCTTTATTACATTTTTTATCACATCTACACATATTTCAAATAAAAGATTTTAGTTAAAAATCAATGAAAACAATATACTTGGTAATATGCATGTGGATATAGTTCTTTTACTAAAACATTTCCTTCATACCTAATCAGTTTCTAACAATTTTTAGAAATAATTCGAAATATTCTAATATTCACTTATACATAGAAAGCAAATAGTTTATTAGGAAAATCAGTCTTCACATGCACAACATCAAATATTTAATATCAAAAAAAAAACTTCAGTGAATTCAATTATATGAGAATAAAATGATTTTTTATAAAAACTCAAAATATATCATGAACCCTAGAAGAAAAAAAAAAGATTTGTCTGTTAAATTGTTACAAATTAGCCGATTGTTTTGCTCGTTGCCCAAATAAAATAAAATAAGCAATGCAGACTTAGTGTTGTCGGTTGAATAAATAAAATGATTATAGAATTTGTAGTATGTTCAGTTCAATGACTAGACAAAAAGCAAATGAATAATAAATACATTGAAAGCATTAGAAAGAGATTAATGAATGGATGAATAAAATGAAAACTTAATTGTTTATCAAAATCATAATGAAACAAAATAATAATACTAATAATTTTGAATTCAAATTACGAATTGCAAGTGAATGATTTGTTAATTGGGAGCTTGTAGTGCTTATTGATGATAATTTTGTTATTGTATTAGTTGAACTACTCTTTTGTGATGTTGTGACTACTGTTGACGTTGAAACTGTTGTTGATGGCGTAACTATTGGTGACGATGAAACTTT